ATTAAATAATAGAAAAATAAGTAAAAAATACCTAATAATAATAATAGTAATAATAACACAAACCAGAAGCTAAAAAGGTAAAAGGTTTAAAAGATAATTTCCAAGAAAAGAGTTTACGACACAAGCAGCTATTGTCTGTAACCTGTTTTGAACTGCTCCCTGTGTGTCCAGCAGAGGGCGCAGTGTCATGTGACTCGTGTTCTGTTCTCGACCCAAACCTGCAGCGTTTCCACCCGTTTCAATAGAAGGAAGTGGATTTGGACAAAGGCTTTTTCAGCTGCAGAGGCCTGGAGTTTCTCTAGAGTCTGAAGAGTCTGGAGTCTAAAATGGTAAAACGTCATGACAACGAGTTTATCTGAGCTTTAATCTGCCTGGAATGTTCCACAGTGTGACTTTAATCAGCTCTACTTTACATTTATTCAATTACAGGCAGGTTTTAAAGCTCAAAAATACTAGAAAAACAGACACTGGGACCAAACTGGACCAAACGGAACCAAACGGGACCACACAGGAGAAAACTGGACCAAACCAGACCAAAAGGAACCAAACGGGACTACGTGCTTGCAAACTGGATCAAACGGAAACAAACAAGACCAAAAAAACTGGACCAAATGAGACTAAACAAACTGTATCAAAAGGTACTGGGACAAAATGACGGCCAAAATGGGACCAAACGGGACCCAACGGAACCAAGTGGGACCACATGGGATAAAACTGGATCAAACCAGACCAAACAAGACCAAAAGGAACAGGACATTATGGAACCAAATGGGACTAAATGAAGCTAAACAGGGCCATAGAGAACCAATCGAGGCCAAACTGGACCAAACTGGATTAAACAACTTGGACCAAATGGGAAAACAGAACTGAATAGAACCAAACAGGGCCAAATGGGACCAAACAGGACCCAACGCAACTAAACGGGACCACGTGAGAGCAAACTGGATCAAACAAGACCAAAAGGAACCAAATGAGACTAATCAAGCTGGACTAAATGGAACAAAATGCGGCCAAACAGGACCAAATAGGACTAATTATGACCAAACTGGACCAAACAAGCTGGACCAAATGGGAAAACAGGACTAAATAGAACCAAAAGGGGCCAAATGGGATCGAACAGGACCACATGGAACCGCATGGGACTAAACAAGGATTAACAGGGCCACAGGGGACCAATTAAGACCAAACCAGACCAAAAAGGAACCAAATATTCTGGACCAAATGGGACCAAACATGACTAAATAGAATGAATCAGGGTCAAATGGGACCAAACAATCTGGATTAATGGAAAAAACAGGACTGAATAGAACCAACCAGAGCCAAATTGGACCAAACAGGACCACATGCAACCAAATGGGACTAAACGAGGCTAAACAAGGCCACACAGGACCAAACAGGACCAATCAAGACCAAACTGATCCAAACAACCTGGACCAAAAGGAACCAAATGTGACTAAATAGAACAAAACAGGGCCAAAGGGGACCAAATGGGACTAAATGAGGCTAAATAGGGCCACATCAAACCAAACAGGACCAACTCAACAGGACCAAACAAAATGGATAAAATGGGAAAACATGACTAAATAGAACCAAATAGGGCCAAATGGAACTAAACAGGACCACGTGGAACCAAATAGGACTAATCTAGGCTAAACAGGGCCACAAAGGAACCAAACTGGACCAAAAGGGAACCAAATATTCTGAACCAAATGGGACCAAACATGACAAAATAGAACTAAACAAGGCCAAATGGGACCAAACAGGACCACATGAAACCAAATGGGACTAAATTAGGCTAAACGGGGCCACACAGGACCAATCAAGATCAAACTGGACCAAAGGGGACCAAACAACCTGGACCAAATGGAACCAAACGTGACTAAATAGAGCTACTCAGAGCCAAATCTGACCAAACAGGATCACATGAAACCAAATGGGACTAAACAAGGTTAAAGAGGGCCACATGGGACCAATCAAGACCAAACTGGACCAAACAACCTGGAACAAATGGGAAAACAGGACTAAATAGAACCAAACAAGACCAAACTAGACCAAACAACATGGACAAAATGGGACCAAACAATCTGTAACAAATGGGAAAATAGGACTAAATGGAACCACACGGGACTAAACAAGGCTAAACAGGGCCACGTGGGACCAATCAAGACCAAACTGGACCAAACTGGACTAAACAACTGGGACCAAATGGGAACAAACAGTACTAAATAGAAGCAAACAGGGTCAAAAGGGACCAAACATGACCTTGTGAAACCAAATGGCACTAAATTAGGCTAAAAAGGGCCACACAGGACCAATCAAGACCAAACTGGACCAAAAGGGGACCAAACAACCTGGACCAAATGGGACCAAATGTGACTAAATAGAACCAATCAGAGCCAAATGTGACCAAACAGGATCACATGAAACCAAATGGGACTAAACAAGGCTAAACAGGGCCACACAGGACCAATCAAGACCAAACTGGACTAAACAACCTGGACCAAATGGGACCAAACAGGACTAAATAGAAGTAAACAGGGTCATATGGGACCAAACAGGACCAAACAATCTGGACAAAATGGGAAAACAGAACTGAATAGAACCAAATAGGGACAAATGGGACCAAACAGGACCACATGAAACCAAATGGGACTAAACAAGGATTAACAAGACCAAACTGGACCAAAACAGGACCAAATATTCTGGACCAAATGGGACCAAACGTGACTAAATAGAAGCAATCAGAGCCAAATGTGACCAAACAGGACCTCATGAAACCAAATGGGACTAAACGAGGCTTAACAGGGACCAAACCAGACCAAACCAGACCAAACGGGGCTGTGGAGGTGATCATTGTGCTGCTCTGCTTTATTCCTGCTCTGTCAAAGAGACATTTGGATTCCACGTGAACACAGAGCAGGCACCATTGGCCATCTGTCTCTCACTTATTATGAGTTATTTAACACACCTCCACCGCGCTGCACCCGCTCCGCCGCCACCCGCCCACCATCGCCCACCCCGCACCCTCACCCACCCCCACCCACCCCCCAGCGGCATCCACGACTCCCATCCAAGCACCTCACAGATGCCGCCGCTCTTACCCAAATCCACTAAATTAACTTCAATACGGTTCTCGCAGCGCAAAGGTTCTTCTCGGCGCTTTGGGGACTTTTAGGAATATTTAACTCCAAAAAACGACAGGATTCGACTCCATCTTGTTTCGAGCGGAGCCAGGGCCAGCAGCTCGGAGGAGAGTTTGACAAATGCGGGCGTCTGCGAGCTTGGGTTTTAATCGTGTACGGCAGGAAATGCGACGGATAAAAAAAAAAACGACGAATCTGGAAGAGGATTTCGAGGTGCTTGTGGGTTCTCGCTTCTTATTAGTTTTTAGATAAACGTCCAAACTGTGGAGCATTTTAAAGGTCGGGAATGTTCCACACTTGCCACGTTTACATGAGAGCTTCAATAATTTCAAATAAAAATAATTAAATTCTGATTAATTCAAAGATCAAACAAATTCGAAGACCATATTAACACTTAACTCCTGAAAATGATGATTCGGAATTAAATTTGGCATATTAGACGTCTCTATTTGGAGTCTTTGCATTTGAGTTTAGACGCCCCAAGAGAAAAAATGGGAGAAAAATACACGAGTTCATTGCCCTGGAAACAAGTGCCCAGTCCCGGTCTTTTCCTTAAACGATGGCAGACCAGACAGAGAGAGACTTTAGTGTTTTTATTACATAAAACCATCAGTGGAGATCGACTTGACGACTGCGACGTGTTTATGTTTATACTCCACTAATGACACTCGATCAGTCCTGGTCTAGTCCTGGTCTAGTCCTGGTCTAGTCCTGGTCTAGTCCTGGTCTAGTCCTGGTGCAGTCCTCTTCCGGTTCTGGTGTAGTCCTTGTGATCCGCTCGGTGATTGTGGCGTATATATTTATTCTCCGCTCATGTTTGTGGCTCTCGCTCTGGTTCTCGGGTCTTTCTTTTTCTTCCTGATAATAACATCGAAAACACGTCTCTGGATACTCGTCCCTGATTGGTTGAAGCAGTACGTCTGATGTGAAAAATTCTGCATTTTCAACTTCTGACGCTGACGCCTTGGACGAGCGTCTAGACGCCAAAACTCTCAAGACGCCCAAAGACGCGCCCCAAAAACACCGGACACCCTAGACCAGGGGTGCTTTAATACGTCGATCCCGATCTACCAGTCGATCGCCAAGGTCGTGTGGGTAGATCGTGTGGGGTGCAGGAGCGTGTGGGGCGTCTCAGTGCGGCCTGTGCGCTCATTTGAAACCCGCGGAGACTCTACGGCGCATCACAAACACACACGCTCCCTATGCACGGCTCGTCTGCGACAGCGTGTGCCCTCGTGTACCAGCGTGCATCACAGGGCAGGTTCAACTTCCTAAACATCCTACCTGTCCACCTGCCTCACGTCAGCACGCCGCCCCTCGCCTTTTCACGCTCTCGCTCCTTCCTGCGTACAGCCAACACAAGCCCCTCCCACAGTGCGGCTGATTAGAAGAACAAGACCAAACGTGAAGCAAAAACCAGTCTAAATTTGTGTTCCAGTGTTGGCACAAAGCAGGTCTACAGCATAGAGCGGATCTACAGAACAGACCTACTGCCACATTTGGCTGAAGTTTGTCTAACAAAAGTGACAAATGCATCTGTGTTTGTCACGATGTGCGTTTGGTTTGGTAAACGTGCAGAGGCTGGTAAATATCACTGCAAAACCAGAAAAGAATGAAACTCCAGTTTGGAACTTTAAAAAACAGGTTTAAAAATCTTCCTTCACTTTTTTCACAGTTTTGTGTAAAGTGCCAGAGGAAGTTCTCTTAAAGAAGAGGTTCTCAAACTGTGGGGGAGGGTCCAGAAAAGGGGCACAGAGTGTTTCAGTGCAGTTTGTTTGACTTTGTATTAGGTCGATCATTTTGACTTGGTCATTTTGTAAGTAGCTCACATGATGAAAAAGTGTGAGCAGCCCTGGTCTAGAGCGTCGACGCCAGAACGCTCAAGACGCCCAAAGACACGCCCCAAAAACGCCGGATGCCCTAGACACACATCCACAAAAACATTACATATAAACAGGACGCTTTGACGCTCTGGTCTGAACGGGCCTTAAGAACTTATTATCAGGCCATAAACACTATATTCTAGTCTAGATGTCGTTTATTTTAAGATAACTTGTCAATGGACTGATAATTTCACCACTTTTAAATAATTTTATCATGGATGTAAGTGTTTGTATCTTAAATTTTGGCCGAGGTTTTTTTCGCAGTGCTGATTCGAGAGGACGCTGATGTAACCGGAGCTTGTGGAGAATGTTTGGTCAGTGACGAGTGGAGCCGTGCGCGGGGCTGTTATTGCGTTCAAATGGAAGCGCGGAGACAGGTTTAGAAAAGGGAAGTGGGATCAACAAGTACTCAACGCGACAAGAGCCTCTCCAGCCCCATCCTCCAAATCAACACGATGAAACGCGCTCGTACAGCCGGCGATTTCCTCTGTTCCTCTGTACACGACGATAATACACTGCCGAGAACTGTGAGGAGCCCACAGGAGGAGACGGGGTAACCACTCTGCCACACACAGGCCGCAGCTCATTTCTCTTTACTCGCTGTGTTCTCCTTGATTCTTCTCCTCGATAGACCTTTTACACTCCCGGGTTAATGGTTTTCTACGGCAAAATGTGTGTAAATGTGTGTGGTGTTCTCCATCAGCTTCATAAATCTGCCCCATCACCAAATCTTCAACCATCAAGCTCCACAAAGGATAAACAATCTAACATGAACAATTTATCCACAACTATCAAGAGAAGAAAGAGCAAAACTTAAATGTCCCATCTGATGGAAAATAACTCTTTTCATATTGTATCTTCTGCACATAAACAAGCACAGTTTGGGTTTTGAAACATCCATTTCTTGGAGACAGTCACAGACCAGGAACTATGAAAGTCCGACTATTGCTCCTCCCCCCGCCCGTCCTGAGAAAGCACAGGCTCCGCCCTCCAAACGTGACGTAGGCGACGAGTGAGCCGCCCTTCCTCCGCCGTCTCAGGGAGGGAGGGGGAGACAGACGTGACCCTGACAGCGGCAGGAATAAACTTTTATTCATCATGGAGATACAGCGCGTTCAGCCGCATGTGTTGGACCCGGAATCCGACGAGGACTTTGAGGAGCACGAAGCTCAAGCACCGAGTCCACATCAAGCTGAACATTACTGATTGGTAAAGTTTTAATAAACACTAGGAGATAAACTTACTTCGTGTACCTTAACTTCGTGTAACTTAAACTTCATGTAAATTAAACTTTGTGTACCTTCGTGTAACTTAAACTTCGTGTAACTTAAACTTCGTGTACCTTAAACTTTGTGTAACTTAAACTTCGTGTACCTTTGTGTAACTTAAACTTCGTGTACCTTGTGTACCTTCGTGTACCTTCGTGTAACTTACTTCGTGTACCTTAACTTCGTGTAAACTTAAACTTCGTGTAACTTAAACTTCGTGTTCACTGCAGTGTAGAACAATGAGTTTATGCTGTCGCTTTTGTTTAGGTGTTCATGTGGGGATTGTCAGACGATGCGAGGTGGAGGCGGAGGTGGTGGAGGCGGAGGTGGTGGAGGTGGTGGCGGAGGTGGTGGAGGCGGAGGTGGAGGTGGTGGAGGCGGAGTGGTGGAGGCGGGTGGTGGAGTGGTGGAGTGGTGGAGCGGGGGAGGGGGACGTCAAACGTGTCATAGGTGAATCTGCCGCGTCATCGTTGTAGCAGCTTTAGTTCGTTGTCACGTGGGAGGGTGGCAGAAATACGCTGCAATTTGTTAAAAAAAAACACAGAATCAATCTAAAAACCACTTCAGCGACAAATACAAGGCCCACACATCACTCTGAGAAGGTAGAAAGATCTGAAAAGTTTGTTTTACATTAGATGGGCCATTTAAAGTTGAACAACGACCACGCATTAGTGACACATTGAACAAAACTAACCTAATGGTCATGGTCACCCTATTTATTTTAAATACTGTATTTTTTGGACTATAAGTGTCACTTTTTTCATGGTTTGTGTTTTCACATACATCACCACCGAGCGTCACCACCGAGCCGCCTGGCATGAAAACACAATCAAATTCCACACACTTTTGCGCCACCGTATGCAGCAGATTTACTCCTGAAAACAGTCGACTAAACGCGGAATAAAAAGTGAAGAAGCGACGTCACTTTTACGTCTTCTGTTCAGACCAACATCATATGAACGTAGCCAAAAACTGTTTTACCCAAGTAACAAGTCAGGATAAACTCTGGATCTGCCACGTTTCACTTCCCTACAACAACAAAATCAGTTGAACACATCTTTCCCACACCACGTGAAGGCAGCAAAAGACAACCCACAAGTGAGCGCGGATGCCTCCAGCTCCATCAACTCTGGCTCCAGTTCACATCAACCGTCTTTCTCTGGACCTGCTGCTGTGAGCCTCGGCATTTTGGTCTAAAAATGTTCGTATTAACCTGCTCTACGTGATCCTGTGGTTTTGTTGTTTTGTCCGTCTGTGGGGCAAACTGGTGAGATATGAGACATGTAAGACACACTGATGAAAAAAGAAACATTCAAGGACATTTTTGTGCATTACATTTTATTATAATGACGTTAATGAACAACAGCCTTAATGTGCATGTCATATTTACTGTATTAACTCGCCGCTGATATAAAAGTCTGGACCAAACAGCGGCTAAACCGAGCTGAGCCTAAACACGTACAAATGTAAAGAAGCAGAAAAAACAACGGGCTCTTTTCACGCTTAAGCCACAAAACCGGAGACAAGACGTTTGGAAGCATGTGGATGACGACTTCCTTTTATAGGAGGGTTTCAGTCACGTGATCACGATGAATTTCAGGTGGAGGGCAGGAAGTGAAGACAAACACGACAAACAAACACGACTCTGGAGAACACAGATATGGAGAAGAGTTCTTATTGTCAGGATTTAGAGCCAGTAGCGAGGCAAAAGTACGAGCAGTTAGTCGACAAATATATTGGACGTGACCCTGATCTTTTTGAAAATGAGAGAATTTTCAACCGAAGTAAAAGATTTGCCGACGATCGAGGCAGAGGAGATCACGAACTATTTAGCTCTTCAGACATCGTTCTACACCAGACAACAGATGAAGGCAAAGTACAAAAGTTTGGAGGCATAGAACTTTTTTTGTCAGTGGATGGATCCTCAACCTCGGTGCAAAACGCCTAAATGATGATCATCGTTTGGTCTTCGCCGAGGTGAGTGTTTCTCTTATTTTATGTGTATAGACTGTTAGACTGGCAGTGACCTCTATCTGAACTATTTAATGTCAACAAACGTCGTTCGCCGTTAGTCGTTAATGATTCGTTTATGTTTAGGTAAACCACAAAAAACAATTTATCTTTGTAACAAACCTTTGATGAAGTGTCACTGCAGACACGAGCATTAGTGAATTCTGCTCCTCCCGACCGCAAACAGGTTTGTAATCCACTTTTTACGGTGTTGTTTCCCATTTCTGACCTTTGTGGACGACTATATTCAGTACTCTAAAAAAATCGCTTTTCCTTCTCTCGGTTAGAACGATTGGCACAGCCGTAAACTACACGACACATCGGCATTTTCCTCCAGTCGGTTCACTTCCTTCCCTCCGTCTGATTTTGCGTGCTGACAAACGTAGCCCTGTGACGTCACGTGAAACCCAGATATTGATAGTAACTCTGACAAAATCTGAACATAACAGAGAATATGGCCTGGTTTTCTTCACCTAGACTTCATTGTATTCTTTCTTTTGCGATTAGATTCCCGTCCAGTGTCAGGAACTACACCGGAAGTCGTCATCCGCATGTTTCCAGACGTTTTCCGGTGAGCGTGAACAGAGCCTGAAATTTGCATAAACATTACAGTTAATATTGTATTCACTTTGCAGAAACGGTGGTAAAAATTTGACATTTGACGCTTCGGAAGTGATGAAAGACAATTTTTATTTCGACTGCGGATGAATCAGACCAGAGACTCCTCGATCTGCTCCCTGGGCTCCTCCTCCGTCTGTAGAAACAGAAATAACTTTACAGCGACTTAATTTGTTGTGATAAAACGACGTGGGCTGTGTCAGAATGTCCACACTTTTTTACGGGTGTCCAAATGTCCAGTTGTTGAAAAAGTTGTGCACTCAAAATTTCTCGCAATGCACCTTGAAATGTCGTGGGCATCGTTGGCAGGGGCGGCGTTATCATCAGTGTTGGGGAGTAACAGATTACATGTACCAGAGTTAAGTAATCAGAGTACAAATGATGAGTAACTGTATTCAGTTACAGTTACTGTTTCAATGAGTGTTAATTGGATTACAGTTACTTTGTTGAAAAAAATGGATTACACAGAGGGATTTTACTGTTTTTACATTTTGGGCTTTATCCGTTTTTTTTGTTTGTTTGTTTGTTTGTTTTTTTCTTTTGGTAATTTCACTCATTGCCGGAAACGAAACCAGGTCCAAACAAGATCTTAACCAGGTCTAAACCAGGACTAAACCAAGTCCAAACTAGATCTAAACCAGATCTAAACCAGGTCTAAACCAGGTCTAAAACAAGGTCTAAAACCTGGACTAAACCCAGACTAAACCCAGACTAAACCTGGACTAAACTAGGGCTATACCAGGACTAAAACAGGATTTAACAGGACTGAACCCGGACTAAACCCGGACTAAACCCGAACTAAAACAGGTCTAAAACTGGACTAAAACAGGACTAAATCCTGCTGTGTGGACGTGTTTCTTCTTCTTCTATCAATAATATTTTTAATTTGGTTCAGTAAAATCTGGGCTTTTTATTTTCTTTTATCAGACAAAACTTCTTATGTTACGAAATCCTCGTCTTTGTTTCTCTACAGCAAATCAAGTAATCCAAAGTATTCAGATTACATTACTCACTTTAAGTAATTTAATGGATTACGTTACAAACTACATTTTGGGGTCTGTAATCTGTAGGGGATTACATTTTAAAAGTAAACTTCCCAACACTGGTTATCATTAGGTAAAAGTAGGCAGCTGCATAGGGCCCCCAAACCTGGAGGGGCCCCCAACCAACTGCCCAACTAATGACCGACGCCCTCGGAATAATTTGATTTTCTCTCAATATGACATTAAATGAAAGTAGTTTAAACAATAATCATAAGAAAAAAAATGGATGTAAACAAAAATGTAACTGTACGAGCAAAAAAATAAAATTACTTTCTGTTCTGGTTTTCTAGTCGGCGACCTAAGGAATAAGACAAGTTTCCAATCCACCATAAATCGAATAAATAAAGATGTGAGTGTCTCAAGAACAATGTGGAAAAACAGAGAATAAACATACTAAAAAAACAAAACTTTATAGTGAGGGCCCCAAACTCAAAATTCGCCTTGGGCCCCCAAATTGCTGACTCCGCCGCTGATCGGTGTCACTAGAACAGTCGGTATAAACCACAATGCACTGGGAGAATGTGGAAAACAGCGGCGTTCAGTGTTATGGCCCCGGTAGAGATGCTCGGATGGGCTATTTTTTCATCCGCAACCGCGACACAAAACTCATCATCCGCCCGCTGTCCATTTGCATCAAAGGTTTTGACCAATTTTCAAAACTGCACTCGCCGCCATCCGCCCATTGATTTAGATTTTAGAACAATCATACAGCAAACAAACTAAGGAGCCTCGATAAAAATGCAAACTCTATAGCTCATTCATTCCAAAATTCGCTCAACGTGCATGTTTGCATTCTTAATTGTCCGTAACAAAACGCTGCTCGTTTCTCAGGGTTTAACTCCTTGTTCGGAGCCTCACCGTGAGCAGTGTGGGCTCAATAAACGCACCACTTCGTTGTTCAAGAATCGTGGCTTTATTTGCCGTGATGCACTAAATAACAGGACAATTGACGCATATCTCATAACACTTAACAATACAGGCTGTAATATGTATATTTTTAAATTTGAGTAGTTAAACTGCCACCCGCCGAATTTAATTAAAATATTATTTTTCGTCACGTCATCTGCCCGACCCGCGGTTTAGCCACAGACACCGCGGCTGCAATCTGCGCATCTCTAGGCCCCAGGTCTTAGATTGTCATTTGTTTTGTGTGTTTTAAATAATTCTGCTGACACACCTGGATTCCTGCTGCAGGAGCCCTCGTTTGTGATTGGTGGGGCAGGTCGACGCCCACCTCACCTGCAGCCACCGCCCACTATTTAAGCCTTGGTGGCCAGTCTGACATTTAGTGTTTGTTTGTGTGTTTAGTTTAGTTCTGTTTTGTGCCTTTTTTGATTTGGTCACTCGATTCTGTTTGTGGGTTTATGTGGTTTAATTTGTTGAACTTGTGTTTTAGTTTTGTGTGTGTCCCTAAACTTTACCACTCGTTTTTTGTAAGCCTGCGTGACTCCTTTTATGGCACAAAACAGTTTATTCTGTTGTTCTGTTTCTTAGTTTAGGTTGTTTTCTGTATATTTTTAGAGTTTTGTTAATTTACCTTTAACCTTCCTGTTAATTAAACATTATTTAATTTATTCCATTTCACATCTTGGTTTTAATTTTGTTGCTTCCCTCACCCCAACGAGCTGGGTCGTAACATTCAGCGACAGGTGTTGCTGATCCTGATTCTAAGACTACGTTTACACTGAAGTGAATCACCGTATCGGAAACGATTTGCATCCACACACGTTGTTTCTGTGTCCACAAGTCTTCCCTATCCACACAACTTTGACCACATAGTGAACAGAAACGACATGTGTGGATGCAAATCACTTCCGATACAGTGATACATTTCAGTGTAAACGTAACCTCTGTTTGTTTGTCTTTTCCACGCAGAACTGTCAAACCACTCATCCCACTGATCTCAAAATTGGAGGGTGTCATCCTAATGGTATGGGTCTAAACTGTGCCAATTTTCAGACAAAAAGCAAATAATCCAGTCTGTTTACATGAAATTCAGTGTGATAAAAACTTGTATGATTATTATTCATCTGTAAGCACTTGTGTCAGTATAATCTGATTAGTATTGACGACAAAAATCCAAGTTTTATTGGAGTTTGCAAACTTTTTCACCTAAACATCCGAATCTCTGTGAGTGAGTGCACTGTAGGGGGCGCTAAAGAGTGCGGGCGTGTGTGGTGAGCGAGGGGTTAGGGGTTGGGGGGGACATTCGGACACAGCCCTGTATTTTTGAGCAGTTTTTTTTCTAACCTGCTGGTGGTCGGAGGATCTGCAGCGGGCGAGTCCTGCACAGGCTCTGAGCAGCAGCGCCACGATGACAGAAAGTACCACCAGCTCCAGGCACCTCATCCCCAACATCAGGTGAGTCAGAGTCACAGGGACATCGCACTCTGAAGGAAAACAACAACACACAAGATCAATATTCAGACAGCCCTGAAATTTTATTATGATGATGATTATTATTATTATTATTATTTATGTTTTTATTTTATTATTACTGTTATTTTACTCCTAATTTTTCTATTTTATTTTGACTTGTACATTAATATTTTTATAAGAGCCCTGAAATATATTATTATTATAATTATTATTTATTTATTTATATTTATTTGTGCAGGTGTTTTGTTCCATTATTTATTTATTTATTTATTTATTATTTTTTGTGTTACTTATTTTTCTATTTTATTTTGACTTGTACATTTACATTTTTATAAGAGCCCTGAAAATTATTATTATTATTATTATTATTATTATTATTATTATTATTATTATTTATTTTTATTTTTTTTTGTGTGCAGGTGTTTTGTTCCATTATTTTATTTTTGTATTACTTATTTTTCTATTTCATTTTGACATACACATTTACATTTATATAATTATGCCTTATTGAGAGAGCCCTGAAATATATTATTATTATTATTATTATTATTATTTATTTTTATTTTTAATTTTTTTGTGCAGGTGTTTTGTTCCATTATTTATTTATTTGTTTATTTATTATTTTTTGTATTACTTTTTCTATTTTATTTTGACTTGTACATTTACATTTATATAATTATGCCTTATTTGGCACGTGTCTCTTGCTCTTTTTTGCTACTTGTTTTGAATCTATTATTACCATTTATATTTTTTACTATTTTTTATTATTATAATATATTGTGATGTCTTTTTTTTTTTTTATTCTAAATATTTATTTATTTATTTTTTGTGTCTCTGAATGATTAAAATGTGCAAAACTGTGACATGTGTTATTGGAGACAATAACACACTTTGTATAATTTGTATAGCACAAAATTGGAGTTAAAAAAAAAAAAAGAAAAGAAAAGAAAAACAACACACAACAGTTTTGAAAAGACAGAATAGACTAGAAAGCTCAATGTTTGTCAAAGCTAACAGTCATTTTTTATCAAACTCATAAAAAGCCTAAACTGTAAAGGTGCACTGTGTAACTTTTCATCTGCTTGTTTCTGTGGATATGGACATTTGGACGCTGCTGTAGTGATGTTAACGGTGCGGTTGGTGAGATCAGCCTGTTACCATGTGGTTCTCCTGAGGTCTGGTTCCAGGGTCTGGTGAAGTTCTCCAGAGTTTGGTTCCACTCAGGTTCTGCAGACACAAACACAGGTGTGTGGTCGGGGTTGGGTGAGTTTGTATAAGGGCCCAGGCAAACAGAAGTAAACAACAAGGAAAAAAATTCAAGTTAAATCATCTGATATAAAAATGTATTGAACAGATACATATGTACTCTAGTTTATCAAACTGTTGACCTTTTTTCTGTACCATTTTTGGTTCTGAAGTTCCATATGTTTTAAACAGACCATGAATGAAACATGGAACAAAAATTATTTCCCAAATTTCAAAGACCTGAAAATCATGTAAATAAATGTTTGTATTTCATCATATCTTGTGTTATTCCATCTGTGAACTGTTGATGAAGCCACATGATTTTTCAAAAAAAAAAAAATTTATTAAATGATAAAAATGTTCTTGGAAGGACTGACATATTTTATAGAAATAGTTTCTTTCATTTTGAAGTAATATTAAAGTATTCAGAAGAAAAAAAGCGACAAATGATGTAAAATCCTGCACCTTTCTACTTGTTTGTACAATTTTCCCTCCGTTACTTTTCCCTCCGTTACCATGACCTTTCTTAATAAAAAAATCTCATGAGTCAAAAAGTCAGAGTTTTTTCAACCTAATCTTGTACCATATGGTAGAAAACTATATGAAGCAAATATTCAAACCAGTTTGTTAAGGATATGGAAGTGAGAACCAAGAGTTATCACTGTTTGGATTTATTGCCCAAAAAGTGCTGCATATTTCATTCCCTCCGTTACCAACATGAGTTTTTACATTTTTTGTCAACAACTTGAAAGAATCTCACAGGTTTAACTTGACCCTGTTGGAGTGTAACTCTTTCCTACATTCTGATACTTTACTTATTTCAATAGTTCCTCTAGTTTCTGAATAAGAGACATTTGAATGTCAAAAAATCTGCCCCTGTTTCATTTAGAGCTGCTTTAGTCCTGGTTCAGTCCTGCTTTAGTCCTGGTTCAGTCCTGGTTCAGTCCTGGTTCAGTCCTGGTTTAGTCCTGGTTCAGTCCTGGTTTAGTCCTGGTTTAGTCCTGGTTCAGTCCTGGTTTAGTCCTGGTTCAGTCCTGGTTCAGTCCTGGTTCAGTCCTGGTTCAGTCCTGGTTCAGTCCTGGTTCAGTCCTGGTTCAGTCCTGGTTCAGTCCTGGTTCAGTCCATATATGGTGCAAAAGTTCGTCATCTTCACTTGCTGATTGTTCTTTGATGATCAGTGACAGTTATTTTGGTGAGAGTTAAATTAATCATGTAATGTTTAATATTTTAAATACAGTAAAACTGTAATGTAATAAATTACTTTGAAATGAGAAAAAAATAATAAATCACACGACAGTTTTAAAGTCAGTTGCCCAACAGTGTAAACAAATGACCTCCACATTCTCTGTGCTGGACCTGGGCTGGACCCGTGACGCGTCCTCAACCTCCAACAAACTTATTTCTCTATGGAAACTGTACTTAGACAAGCGGTGAATAAAAATAAAACTGTGGACTCTTACTTGTAAGATTGAAAAGTGAGAAGACTTGGACCAGGTTGTTGTTGAGGTCTCTTACTTCACATCGATCAGGGGCAAAACCAGGAGAATTTAGAGACATTTTGAAGTGAGCTGAGCATCCTTCATTCCAGAAGTACACGTCCTCTGCGTCCTGGACCAGCCATCTCACCGAGTACACACAGTTTGTACCAAACGGCTGCACAGTACAGCTCCCTATCATTGACCAGGGGTCATTTGCTTCATAAGACACTAAGGAGAGAGAAATATGACACAGAACTCTTCAGTGAATATGACGTGGGCACCTAAAGTGTTTGACAGAATTTTCACCTAAATGAACATTTTCTTGAATTCTGTAAATAGAAAGTCGAGTTCCTCTTTGTGCATAATATATTATGTAATATATGAGGATTCGTCAGTCGCCCAGGGAGGATTCTACTTGGATGATTTTGGATTTTACAAACATCCCAAGAACAACTGCAGACCAACCACCCTCAAACTGTTAAGAAAACTGGAAAGGGATTCCTAGAGTTTGTCCAGTCCTCCTGAGACCTTCGACTGAGACACAGAGAGTCACCGAGAAGCTCTCAGAGGTCAAGCAAAAAGACAAGGACAAAGGACCCATGTTTCTCTATTTTCTGATCTCTGTGATAAAATGCCGTTTCTTCATCATTATTCCACAGTCAGTGAGAATTCCGGGATCAGCCCTATGTTCCCTCATGTCTCAGGTGTTTCTGAAAATGAAACTCTAAGTCAAGTTAAAGTCTTTTTTTTTTTTTTTTACAGCATTTAAAGGGATTATTCAGCCCAGGGTCCTTTGCACCATGACCTCTCATTACATCTGTAGAGGTTCTACGCTGGTGTAACTGACGACCAAACTGGGAGAAATGGGAATAAAATCTGATGCAAATTGATGATAAAGTCGCCCCGTCAGGTGCACAGAGGCGACACAGAAAACTCTAATGGAAAAATGAAAGTAAAACCTGAGTGATCTGGAGCTGTTCCTCTGTGTTTACCTGTGACCACAGACAGGAGGAGCCCGGTCTGGATGGTGGACTGGGATTGGTTGTGTTGGGTGCAGGTGTAGAATCCAGTGTCCTCGGGTGACACCTTCAGGATCTGCAGCTCACAGGCCTCAGTCAGGTTGACTCTGTCTGCATCTAAACCAGGACCAGTGTTGGGAGTAACAGTTACAGTAACACAAATACTTGAGTTCAGGTAAAAATAGAGGAACGCACTACTGCTGGAAAGTTGGTCATGAAACTTAGTTCCTTTTTCAATTTGGCCCAGTTACTTTTCTGTGTACGAGGGTTGGCCCACGCCCTGGCGGCGCGACGCAGTTGGGGAGCACTGAGGAGAGTCTGCATGGGAGCATGGGAGCATGGGGCCCTGTCCCCGCCCAGGGGCTGAGAGGGCACAGGGGCCACTGATCCCACGGCCCCGGGAAGCAGTGAGGTCCTGGTGAGAGGAGCTGTAAATCAACCAGAGCATCGTTCCACCTTCACCTTGAGCCTCTCCTGGCCGACCCAGAGCAAATCACAGTGCACCGCCTCAGAGGAAGTGTGTTCAGCGAGGGCCAACCTCACTCAGGGAGACGTCCCTTGAGGAGATCGTCCCTCACCCACCGGGTTGAATCCCCCGAGTGGACTGACCCCACCCCTTTAACTCTTAATGGTTTCATGTTCTCTTCAACTCTTTTCAACTTTCCCTTATGGCTCTTGTTGGTCTCGTGCCGTTTTAATCTTAGAGGACGTTTACCACCTCAAAATGATTAAAGTCAGAAGTAACATAAAAAGTTACTTTCCATAGAGGGTAACTAAGTAAAGTAAGGGATTACTTTTTAAAGAAATAACAATAAAGCAAACACTAATTTTTTAAAGTAACTTCCCCAACACTGACCGGGATTCACTACCCCGGACTTCACCAGATCCACAGAGGGCCATGTCCTGATCCAGGAGACAGGGCTCATGTCTCTGTAGAAGACATCACTGACGGTGTCCAAGGTCCAGTCTGTCCCGGAGCAGTTGGTCTGAGCCACGTCTCCGCAGGGCAGAGAGACCACATCATTGTTCATAACCAGCAACATCTCCCCTCCTCCTGAACAAGAACACGAACAGTCAGACGGAAACAGCCGGATGTAGAATCTCATGTCCACGGAGACTCGGCTGCATCATTTGCCTCAATGTCAGAAATTCAACTTGTCCCCAATTTTAAAAAGTGACAACACCAATTAAAAGAAAATCTGTGGAATATTTGCTTAATTGAAAAATATCTACTGGGTCCACCCAGTTTTCTGGCAGAAAAATCAGTTTTTCTCAAATAACTTTAAAAATAATGGTTTGTTTTAAATATAATATTGTTTTTATATATATATCTATATATCTCTATCTATCTATCTATCTATCTATATATATATATATATATATATATATATATATATATATATATATATATATATATATATAGATATATATATATAACTGCTTATTCAACGTCCTTGAAGTCCCAAAGAAATGACTTTTGCCATATTTCAGAAACTACTGATGATAGAGACAAAAAACTGGTACCAAATGATCCACAATGTCCATATTTATATTTAACTTCCATTGATACTATTGGGCTAAATTAATTATTTTTGATGTTATTAAAGAAAAACAGATTTTTCTGCTCAGATTTAAGACTTCCACAGACACTAAACTTCAGAGGTTTGGTGGACACAGTAAACATCAAGAGAATTTCATGAAATTTCTCATGGAATTTTACTTTGGCAAGTGTAAAAAAAATATACTAGGTACAGTTTGATTTTCAAAATATTTTTAAAAAGTTGCACAAATTATTCTCCCTTATGGAGAGTCTTTATGTTTGTCTTTATTTCCTTGGCAAAAACTGAACATGAAATAATTCCAAACTTGTTTTAGATTTTTAAAATAGCCTTTACCCTTTGCTTTGACCACTGCTTTTCCTCGTGAGTTTATCTGGAGCCTGACACGACGCAGCTGTGAAAAACATTTCTTCATCATGAATTTCTTTGTCTATGCTTCATAATTCTATATATCTGACATTATTTATTGGATGTCTTCCATATGCGTCTAAAAAGTATTAAACATGAAGAAACTGGTTGTGTATATCTCATGAAATTATTTAAAAATACATACATTGATTTTTATTTTTTAAATTACACTAAATCCAAGTGTAAATACAAAAAAGTCTTTTTAAGTTTTATATGATTCTCTAAAACTGTGTCTGAAAATTGTAAATAACTAATGAGACTGAAGCAGGACTCACCGGAGCCGAGCAGCGTGAGCGCGAGCAGCTGCAGGACGCACACGGCCCACATGTTTATCAGGGTTAAGAAAGACACGACTCTGCTGTTTCTGTTAAATATGTGTGAGCTGCAAAGTGACACTGTGCAGAGTTACATCTTGATAAGACGAAACCTTAAAGGGGGCGAACGCAAACTTTGAATCTAATGAAGTAACATTTGGTTTGCACCATTATGGATATTGTAAAATAAATATTATAAAATAAACTCTGAAGGTCGAATTATTAAATGTTTTTATCACCACAGACGTAAACTCACAAGAAGCAGCAGTCGCCCCAAAGAAACTGTCAAACTATTCAACGCTTCAGGAGGAAGAGTGAAGCTTCATCAGAACTGTTTACAGAGTAAAGTCTACAGAGTAAAGTCTACAGTGTAAACTCTACAGTGTAAAACTCTACAGTGTAAACTCTACAGTGTAAACTCTACAGTGTAAACTCTACAGTGTAAACTGTACAGAGTAAACTGTACAGTGTAAACTCTACAGTGTAAACTCTACAAACTCTACAGTGTAAACTCTACAGTGTACAGTGTAAACTCTACAGTGTAAAATGTACAGAGTAAACTCTACAGTGTAAACTCTACAGAGTGTAAACTCTACAGTGTAAAATGTACAGTGTAAACTCTACAGTGTAAACTCTACAGAGTAAACTCTACAGAGTAAACTCTACAGTGTAAACTCTACAGTGTAAACTCTACAGTGTAAACTCTACAGTGTAAACTCTACAGTGTAAACTCTACAGTGTAAACTCTACAGTGTAAACTCTACAGTAGGAAGCATCATTTCCCCAACTTTTTGAAAAAATTTGTGCATCAATCTGTACCCTTTTTACACTTGCCAAAGTGAACTTCCATGAGAAATTTCGTGAAAACACACAAATATTATATTTAAATATCATATTTCAAACAGTAGTGTGGGTGGAGTCCCTGCTTGGACTGTTCCCCCCAACCTGACGCCGGAGAAGCAGAAGAAAATGGATGGATGGATTTAAAACAAATCAATTGATCAAGTTATTTGAGAAAAACAGATTTTTCTGAGTTTTATGGACAATGTTAGGATGAAACTTAAGAGTCTTGTGGACCCAGTAGATTTTATTCAATTGAACAAATATTCCACAGATTTTCTTTTAAATGGTTTTGTCACATTTTAAAATTGGTACAAGTTGAATTTCTGACATTGAGGTAAACTCTACAGTGTAAATTCTACAGAGTAAACTCTACAGAGTAAACTCTACAGTGTAAACTCTACAGTGTAAACTCTACAGTGTAAACTCTACAGTGTAAACTCTACAGAGTAAACTCTACAGTGTAAACTCTACAGTGTAAACTCTACAGTGTAAACTCTACAGTGTAAAATGTACAGTGTAAAATGTACAGTAAACTCTACAGTAAACTCTACAGTGTAAACTCTACAGTGTAAACTCTACAGAGTAAACTCTACAGTGTAAACTCTACAGTGTAAATTCTACAGTGTAAACTCTACAGAGTAAATTCTACAGTGTAAACTCTACAGTGTAAACTCTACAGTGTAAACTGTACAGTGTAAACTACAGTAAACTGTACAGAGTAAACTGTACAGAGTAAACTCTACAGTGTAAACTGTACAGTGTAAACTCTACAGAGTAAATTCTACAGTGTAAACTCTACAGTGTAAACTCTACAGAGTAAACTCTACAGTGTAAAACTCTACAGAGTAAACTCTACAGTGTAAACTCTACAGTGTAAACTCTACAGTGTAAACTCTACAGTGTAAACTCTACAGTGTAAACTCTACAGTGTAAACTCTACAGTGTAAACTCTACAGTGTAAACTCTACAGTGTAAACTCTACAGTGTAAACTCTACAGTGTAAACTCTACAGTGTAAACTCTACAGAGTAAACTCTACAGTGTAAACTCTACAGAGTAAACTCTACAGAGTAAACTCTACAGAGTAAACTCTACAGTGTAAACTCTACAGTGTAAACTCTACAGAGTAAACTCTACAGAGTAAACTCTACAGAGTAAACTCTACAGTGTAAACTCTACAGAGTAAACTCTACAGTGTAAACTCTACAGTGTAAACTCTACAGTGTAAACTCTACAGAGTAAACTCTACAGTGTAAACTCTACAGTGCAGGTGCAGAGCTCTGAGGATGTGGTCAGACGGATCTTCTCAGTCCCAAGTCACGTCCCTGAGGAGGAAGCTGAGGACTGTGAGGACTCGTCCATCACCCTGAAGTGTCTGAGGAGGTTAAAGCTCCTCAGTCCCTCTGGACCAGCGGTGAGGTCCTTCTGTTTAAGAAGGGGGATAGGAGGATGTGTTCCTCCACAGGAGAGTCACACTGCTCAGGCTCCCTGTGAGGTCTGTTCCAGGGACTGGAGAGTCTGAGAGTCCAACCTCAGACTCAGGGATGAACCTTGGACCAGCTCTGTAGTCTCCACCAGAGGCTCAGGGGAGTTTGTCAGTCCACATCTGCTTTCTGTTCTGTTCATCATTTTTTAGACAGGATTTCTAGGCACAGTTAGGGGCCAGAGCAGGTCCATGTATTAAAGTGCACGGTGGTGTGTTAAAGTGCACGGTGGTGTATTAAAGTGCATGGTGGTGTATTAAAGTGCACGGTGGTGTGTTAAAGTGCATGGTGGTGTGTTAAAGTGCATGGTGGTGTATTAAAGTGCACGGCGGTGTATGAAATTAGGGTGTTTTAAGACTTTTGGTCATTCTCAACAATTTCTACAAAGTTTTATTCATTTTGATCCAGTTTGTTACAGAATGTTTGTGCTGACATGAAGGTGTTTTGAAGCAGAAGTAGAGATGACGTCCAGAGAGTTTTTATCAGGGTTTGTGATTTCAGCAGAGGAAATGCAGCTTGATGAACAGATAAAAAAACAACAACCTTTACTTGTGAAATATGAGACACAAGATCCAAACTGCGCACACAAACACTCACATTGAAAGTCACATTCACGTCACACTTGATGCGTCGGCTGTTGATATGTTTGACTAATCTAACGATCTTTCCCGGGCCCTATTCAAACCCTCCTTACGGTTAGCTGTAAGATTCTGTACGAAGCTCCGCCCACAAGTCCAGTCACCCACGCTCCCACACGACAACTCTCCGTAAATGTACAAAAACATACAAACATACATGATTTGCAGGAGGAGGGTTGGAACAAGACCCGGGGACAGATCACTAAATTATGAGTGACAATGAAAACCTCTTGTGGCGTGTTTTTGTCAAGGAAACAACATCATACTCTCCTTTAAAGAGCCACTAAAGAGCCAAATCACTTTTTTTCTCCTGATTCTCTGTGTAAATGTGTCTAAAATAGAAATCTGTCTTGATCCCTGGAGTTATTTTGGTATTTTAGTGCAGATTTGTTAAAACTTTTGGGTCAAAGTCCTGTCTGTTTCGGCCTCTTTAGGATCAACTACCGTCTGGACATTTGAGTTTTCGGTTGGACTAACGGCGCCGATGAGTCAGACGCAGGTTATTACGTGGCGGGTGCAGACTGTGGCGTCTACGGGCGAGACGTGAGGAGCTCCTCTAAGCCCCGCCCCCACCTGACTGGCTTTTTGTTGTGTTGTGGCTTTTTAATGTGTTGCGGCATTTGCGTTTGTGTTGTGGCATTTGTGTTTGTGTTGTGACGTTTGTATTTGTTGCGGCGTTTGCTTTAAAATAGAGTCCCGTGGTCATTTCCGTCGTGGCTTTTTTTGGTGTGTTGTGGCTTTTTAATGTGTTGTGGCTTTTTAATGTGTTGTGGCTTTTTTATGTGTTGTGGCTTTTTGATGTGTTGTGGCTTTTTAATGTGTTGTGGCTTTTGCGTTTGTGTTGTGGCATTTGTATTTGTTGCGGCGTTTGCTTTAAAATAGAGTCCCAGGGTCATTTCCGTTGTGGCTTTTTTGTTGTGTTGTGGCTTTTTGATGTGTTGTGGCTTTTTGATGTGTTGTGGCTTTTTGAATGTGTTGTGGCTTTTTAATGTGTTGTGGCTTTTGTGGCTTTTTAATGTGTTGTGGCTTTTTAATGTGTTGTGGCTTTTTAATGTGTTGTGGCTTTTTAACGTGTTGCGGCGTTTGCATTTGTTGCGGCGTTCGCATTAAAACAGAGTCCCGCGGTCATTTCCGTTGTGGCTTTTTGTTGTGTTGTGGCGTTTGCGTTCGTTGTGACCCCCCCTCGGCTTCCGTAAGTAAAGCTTCGAGTTTAATGACTCTTTAAGTAACGAGGCTCTTACGGGTTTTTCTTTGACTCCCTTCCCCTTCTGCGTACGTTATTAGCCCCTCCCCTCTTGTGAGTGACACATTATTAGCCCCTCCCCTCTTGTGGCTGACAGGATCTGCGCGTTTGTCCCCCTCCGGAGCGTCGGGAGCGTCGGGAGCGTCAGGAGCGCAGCCACAGCAGTTCTTATCTGTGTTAGAAGAAGCTTTAGCCATCTGTGTGTGAAAACAGAGCATAAGACGCGCTCAAACACCACTGATCCCTGAGAACACAGAGCTGATGAGCCGCCGCCGCCGCCGCCGCCGCCGCCGCCGCCGCCGAGCGAACACCAGAGAACACGCCGCTAAACCAACGTCACCCCTGCACCGCCAGCGTGTTCAGGTGCTGCAGTTCTGACCCGTGTTTGAGATGACATGATGAATTTTTTTGGGGGTAAATGTTTCTTTTCTAAACTCAGATTTGCGTCCGTGTTTGACCCATTTGTGTCTCTGGGTCGAAACTTTGGGGAATTTAAGGGTTAAAAAATTTACAAACGAGACAAAAAATACAAGAAAAGAGCCACAAGAAAACAGTCGCACTAACGTAAAGGCTTTTTAAGACACAAAATCCACTCCAGTGTCCAGTGCTGGGGAGGTGACTTTAAAATGTAATCCCCTACAGATTACAGATTACAGATTACACACACCAAAATGTAGTTTGTAACAGAATCCATTGAATTACTTAAAGTGAGTAATGTAATCTGAATACTTTGGATTACTTGATATTGTCATGTTTTTTAGTTTAGTCCTGTTAGTCCTAGTTTAGTTTACTAGTTTCTGGTTTTA